TGGGAGCATTTTTAATTACTTTATCAGACCAATAATATGGCTGCTGTGAGATTACTGTACTAACAGGCTATCCAGGAAGTCTGAGCACCAGTTTTAGGAATTTATTTGGATGTTACTGATTAGCAGGCATCAGCGTCTGTATGTTGTTCCCATACAGTCTTTTCTAAGATGAGTCCAAAAACCAGTGACTGCTTCCATCTTTTATTTACAGTGTGTCGTTACAGACATTGAAAAATTGATCAGTGCTGACAGATCATTGATGTTGTTTTGTTCCTGTCTGAGTATGTACGGCAGTGCTTGACCCTCAGAAAGTCTGTGATCTGCAGAGAAATCGAAAACATTTCTCTTTGGAAAAGTGTAAGCGGTGCTGAGTGTGTAGCTCTTGGAGCTGTAGGCTCATTTGGACAGTTAATGAGTGAACAGTGGGTGAAACTAAAGATAACCTGAGGAAATGTGTTGCAGGTTTTGATGTTCAGGCTCTCAGAGGATCTTCTTATTGACCAAACTCGCTGATCAGTGAAACAGCTGGGGTCATGTGATTCTGGCCCGATGTGGGGGCTGGGGGTACATTAGTAGCATTGAGCCCCCATGCTCTGCAGCGTCTCCGTGGTAATCCTGCTGCGCCGCCACCCACCCTAAACGTGGTGCTCCTTTCATCACTGTTGCCATGGTGACAGCAGAGCAGTGGAGCCTTGAATGAGTCAGTGTGGATTTTCTCTTCCACTCTCACTCAGGCTGATGTCGATGGTTGCAATGTGGCGACAGCTCGGGTTGTCACGATACTTGAATTTCTAACTCATCACTGATCCCCAAGAGAGTATTGCATATATGGGAATACTGCAGTACCACAGGAAAAATTAGAGGCTTTGGTGTTTTTCTTTTAAATAAAGACTGGAACAATACAAACAACAACAGAAGTAACAACAGTAACTATGTGACCGGTACTTTAAGGTTGTTTCTGTGCAGCTTCTGGTCGACTTTTCTGCTTCGGTGATAAAGACAAACCGGTCTGTCCACTGACCTCTGAACTTCCTCCTGAAGCTGTGCTTAGTGTTAGTGATGGGACGGGTTCTTTCAACTCAGAATAACTGTCTGATCTGATTGTAATTTAAGTACTGATTAATATCTGAGTATCAATTTTTGCCATCTAAAATAAGTTTTCAGAACTTGATTGTGTGAAGCTGACATATACATTCAGCTCATTTTGAAACTTATTTTTACTCTTGGAATTTGAACTGGATATTGGTGCAGCCCCTTAATTGGTCCTCTGAAACAAGCTGTTTTAGCTTCTCCCTGAAAGCACACTATCTTCTGATTGACTAACTTCACGGGCATGCAGAGGGGCAGCACCCAGAGGTTATGAGGTGTACTACAGTGAAACAATATATCCATGACAGATAATAAGAAAATAAAGAATAGGTACCCTTTAATTTAGAAAGTAGAAAGCGGCTTGTGGATTGTGATTAAATATGTTCTGGAGGTTCGTGTTCCCATTAGGATCAGCTCATCTACCGCCTCCCTCAGGTTATTGATTAAGCTCTAAACAATGAGAGCCATGCTCCACATATGAATCCAATCAAAACAAAATGACATAATAATAAATTAATTCTAAGGGAAAAAGTTTTGTTTTTCAAAATAAGGGCAACCTCCACTAGGTTGTAGATAGCTAAGACTCTCCACATTTTAAGAACTAAAGAAACCTCTTGAATAAGAGGTGAAATGCCTTCAAGAAATTTAAAGGAGTCCACCTGCCACCTGCTTTCTTTCCAAGCTCCTTAGATTATTGTGACCTTAATGACAGAAAACCTAGAAAGACAGAAGAACAATTTCATTTTGAGGGATTTTAAAAATAAAAATAATCCTTTTTTTCACCACCGCCAGTGTTAGCTTTGAAGATGCCTACATGTTTTCCTCTTTTGTTTTTCTGGAGCAGATGTATAAACCTGTGAAGCATCATAATTTTTGTAGTTTTTGCCAAATTAAAATAAAAAAAAATCTTTAACACATGGATGTTCTCTATGAATCAGATTGAATTAAATCTAAAAAAAAATCTAGTTTGGGCTCAGAGCAAGTCAGAAATGATGACAGAAACCATGTTAGCCTTGCAGGATTAACAGACCACAGATTCAGCATTAAAGTCCCAAAGTGTTTAATTTTTGGTTGTTTTTACAGTATATTTCTTTTTAAGGATCCAACATCCTCCAAATACCCCGACTTCCAGCTTCAGGGAAGCAAAGAGGTACAGTTGAGTATCACCTGCATACAGGAAAAAGCTCAGTTAGATGTACTGTTGATGTAAGTACAGAAAAGAGGAGAACCCAGGATCGAGCCATGAGGTGCACCACACAGTCAGTTTTCTTTCTACAAACAAAGCTATGTTCTTCCTTTTTCTTTATCTAACTCCACAAATAGACCTCAGTACCTCCTCCCCCACCTCCCCTCCCATCTTTATGGACCTGCTCTGTCCAAATACCACAGCAGTCATTAAGCCAGAGTGCCGGCCTGGCATTTTAAAAGGCCAAACCAGAGTGGGCCGAGCTTTTATTTGCCTCCTTTCTATAGAGAGCGAGAGAGAGATTTATCTTCTACAGTCTAATGTGGAGGCGTGCTGTTAGAGGAGGTGAAGCTTCGTAGGCGGAGGTCGTTCACAGAGAGTTTTAACAGCAGTTGAAGGAAAATACAAAAGTTTTATATCAGGCACAGCAATGACAAAGATGGCTCTTTGATAAAACTGATAGTTTTATTTGATTCTGCATACATCATACAGAACATTTCCCTCATCTCTCTAATGGCTTTTTGAGAGAATTTGTGTGAAACACTGAATGATAACAGTTTTATCATTTTTAGATCATATATATTTACACAGTGTGTTTTTATGTTCTTTAAATAGAATTCAATTGATGTTTTCAACCTGAGGGTTTTTTTTTTACAGCGATCCAAATGTCTGTAAAGTCTAGATTGAGGTTTCACTGTATTCTTATTAAGCACAGTAGGGCTGTTCGATATAATGATATATATCGGATGGCTATTGTTTGTTTCGTAGTGTCGCAAAATAAACTGTTTACGGCAATATTTTTTCATAATTTTGATGGTCACTGTAGTGTCTATATTAATTTCTTAAAGTTCTCTCTTTCTCTTATATATAATATAACCACACTACAGACAGACAAGCGCCTGTTTTTATGCGTTGTCGTTAGCAACAACAACGGTAAAACCACGGCGTGTCCGCTTGTTTATTTTCCACATAAACCTTTCGCAATAAAGCTCAAGATCCTGTTGAGACTTTTCAAAATAAACTGAATCACTTGAAAGATGCAGAGTATTTACGGATGAGAATAATTTATTGTGAGTATTTATAAAATAAATACTCACAAAGAAAACGGCGGCCGTTATGTCTATGTCTAAAAATGTATAGTTTCATGCATCGGTTAAAACACTTGACTCTAGGTCCATGACGTCCAGCTGGAAACACTTCCCGCAAGTCGAGCTGCTGGAGATTCACAGAATTTACAGAAAATGTTACATTTTTGTGATTTATATCGTTATCGGACGATAGATGTCTTAATATCGGGATATGAGATTTTGGTCATATTGCACAGCCCGAAAGCACAGTGCTAAAAAGACAATAAAACCAGAGCCTGTGTCCTGCATGGAGGAGCTGGGATAATGGCTGTTCTCAGTTGACAGATTCAGAAATGTTTCCTTCCTGGATGTAGGTCAGCTCCTGCTACACTTTACATTTACTAACATTTAACCCGCTTCGCTTTCTCTGTTTGTCGCTGAATATTTAACGTCCTCACGGCGTCAGGGTAGATTCCATCATGCCTCGGTGCAGCACACGTTCGTGACTGTTTGAAATGTGGGTCAGGTTCTGTGCGGATGGATAATCTGCTGCTCCGCAGTCACAGCAGGTCGCAGTGCTTTCATGAAGCTGCTGTAGGCAATCGTGTCACTGAGCTGCTGCTGATCCACAAACAGGAAACGCTCCAACCGACCAATCCAACCTCAGCCGGAGCGCAGCCGCTCCTAGATAAGATACATGGAAACTGATGGCATAATAAATACACAAAACCAAAACACACGAATCCAAGAATTAGTTTGACACTTCTGTATGGTTTTATCATCAGGAAAAAAAAAACTTTAAGGTGGAATTAGCTGACATCTCCTGTTTCAGACCAGGAACCAATCAGTGACCAGTATCAAATAGTGGGTTGTAACTGAATGAAATGTGTGGTGCTGTGATCATGTGATTCAATCAGCAGCGTGACCTTTATGCACACGGATGGTGCTTGGCGGGGAGTCGACCTCCTGATGTCAGATTTAATGAAGGCAGACCAGCCTGCTCAGCTCAGGACAGGAGAGACAGGAACACAAATCATCTTTGCGCTCAGAAAGAAGAGAATAGAATAAAACAGGCCGAGATTACGGGAACTCCGATGCTCAGTCTGAGGCTTCTCTTCACCCAGTCAAACGTGTTTAATATTGGTCCTTAATTGATCACCAGCCAATGGGAGCCCTCTCTGCATCCTCAGTGTTGTGTCTTCTCTTTCTTTTTGGCCTGATTCTTAGAGCTCTGGGGCCAAAGCATGATGGGAAATCATATTCATGGACACTGAGACTGCAGGGGGTAAAACTGACAGCTGGCTGTTGGCAAGTGTGAGAGGCTGTGCAGCTTTTCAGCTGTTTTCACTTTTGATTTCTTAACTTTCAGAAATAAATCGTGTTCTGTTCCATGTTTCTTCCTGGACTCCACCAGAGTTGCTCTGCATTATTCACAGTTAATAATAATCCTTCTTTATCTAAACAAAGCTGTCTCTTTAATAACCCCTTTCCTAGAGCCCACTTTCTTCTGATTGGCCTATTCTGGGAAGCCTGTTGAGGGGCAGGATCCAGTGCGTTTGGGCCTCACCAGAGCTCAGCGGATCAGAGTGAAAGGAGCTGCTTCATCTAAGCTGAAATAAATGTTAACCTCTTTGTTTGCTCACATTTTTCTTTTTCAGAGCACGACGGCGTTCCAGGCGACCGTAAACGACGAAGGTTTGATTGTGGCGACTTTGGATAGCTCAGACCTGCAGGAGAACGTCACGGCGTATGCGGTACAGATCTCCGGAGAACCTCGAACCATCCTGATCCAGTTCGTGAACACCAGCGAGCCTCTGCTGTACAACGCCTCCTTCCACGGCCTCTGCTACACGGTGGGGCTGCTGCTCAGACGGGGACAGGCTTGGTCCCGCCCCATGAAGACCGTTGCCGTGCTCACGAGTAAAAACCTCTCCAATCACAGGGTTGGGGGGGTGGGGGGTTCAAAATCACTGATTCTGATATTACAGGATCGCACCATGTTTAGCTGCTGGCCTTTACAGGAAATAAACCTGAGAGTCACTGCTTTCCATTTTTAATAACCTGAAACATCACTTTGGACATTTCCTCTGTTTTCTGATGTTTTTAAAACCAGTTAAACGATCAACTGAAATAATCAGCAGACTATTTTTACCTTCAAATTCTGTTAGCTTGATCATCATCGGTGACTGCAGAAGTCAACGCTGTAAAAGTCTGATTTATCTGGATTATTCTGTAGATTTAAGCTTTAAAAGTGGTTGAGGTTAGTTTAATTGATTATGTTTAATACAGGAGCATATATGAAGGAGAATTATCCTCAACATGAGGATAATTCTCCTTAAAAAAACCTGTTGTTGCAAGGATTAGGAAAATGTTATTATTTTTTAAAATTTTGCATTGTTGACATGTAGTTCAAATAAAGGGCTTACATCTCTGTTCTGTAGTTCTGTGATTGTGATGTTCGACTCAGTTTCGTTTGTCTCCTCAGAGCCGCTTCCTGTCCGCAGTGCTCAGATATTGGACTATAAGGAGGCTCCAGAGACTGGCGTGGTGTTTGAAATCGATCCTCCGACCAGAAACGTCTTTAGCAGAGTCAACATCAGCTACGCTGAAGGACAGGAGCGCCGATCGATGCTCTATAAAGGTAAAACATTTCATTCTGTTTGTATGAGTGGGTGCTATTTAGTGTAATTTAGTGTGTTTCGTAAACCAATATGAGCCTTCTGCCTGAATGTGAGGACAGTTATTGTAGTTCACAGTCTGACTGGCAGGTGGAGGCACCTGAGTAGCGATAGAGGAATGTGTCTGTCTGAATAAATGCCTGGCCCCTCCAAACTGAAGATTCTGATTGGGTAGAAATCCTCCGGGGAACTCTGGGGCGCCCTTGCCTTTCTCTGATGGAAAGCATTTCTGAAAGCACGTTATTCCACTTAAAGCGGCTTGAGACAACTGATATTGTGATTTGGTGTTATATATAAATAAAACTAAATTGAGCTGAACCAAGTTATTTCAAGTTTACTTGCACACACCTCAGTGGAGGCAAATATAAAGGAAAGAGGACCCAGGATCGACCCCTGAGGAACTCCATTTCAATTCAGTTCAATTCAATTCAATTTTATTTATAAAGCACCGCAACAACAGTCGCCTCAAGGGGCTTCATATTGTAAGGTAGACCCTACAATAATACACACAGAGAAAAACCTAGCAATCATATGACCCCCTATAAGCAAGCACTTTGGCGACAATGGGAAGGAAAAACTCCCTTTTAACAGGAAGAAACCTCTGACAGAACCAGGCTCAGGGAGCTGCGACCGGTTGGGGAGAGAGAAGGATGACAGTATAAAAGACATGCTGTGGAAGAGAGCCAGAGATTAATAACAAGTATGATTCAGTGCTGAGGGGTCCATTAACACATAGTGAGTGAGAAAGACCAGACCTGATTTCAGCTGCTTTGGTGTTCATGTCCTGACTGCTGACAGATGTTAACACAGCTCCAGAAATAAAGAGAGTGTTTTTGTGTTTCTTTCTGCTTGTTGTTTGTAGATTTCTACAGAGGGAAGACAGTGTTTAAGCACTGGTTACCGGGGATGTGTTACCGAAACATCACCTTCCAGCTGATCTCAGAGGCCACCGTGTACCAAACTGCACTGGTGACCCACAGTGACATCACTCACACACCGCTGCATCATCGGACAGGTGAGGCCCCTCCCACTGTGAGAGTCCAGTGCTTGCTCTGTACTGAGTAGATTAGATCGGCTCTGAGGCAGACCTTCCTGCATGAAGCTCTAAGTTCTGCTTTCAGGAATCATTGCCTTAGTAAATACAGTGATCAGGTCTGGAGAACATGGTGGCCCGGTTCAGAGGCCTCCAGCGAGGACCTGCTGCCTCATTTTTTTAAACAGTGATGTATGATGAGACGGGAGGAGCTTCGTCTGGCGAGCTGACTAGCCATTTCCTGCTCAGAATAATTCACTCCCCTCTCTCCCCCCAGTGCCCCACCCTCCCCTCAACATCTCCTATAAGATCATCCATTTGAGCCAGAGGGCAGCTCCAGGTCAGCTCCCCGACATGCTCCCACATGATAGTGGGCAGCGATCCCCCCGCCAGGCCCGGGATGTCCCACTGATGGAGGAGCGGGAGGAGGAGGAGACCCAGGCTGAGGAGAACACCTCAGATGAGGTAATAGGAGTCACTTACGCCCCCTCCACAAAAGTGTTGACGGTGAGCGCCCCCATTGATGTGAACAACAGCCGCACGGAGGAGGCAGAGCCTTCGAGCTACTGGCTGGAACCGACGGAGCCATCTCCCACCGACAAGGATGAGGAGTTCGTTAATGGCGTGCTGCCCGAGTATGAAGACTCCAACGAGCCGGGCTCGGCCATGGCACTCCCTGCCGAGCCTTCTGTCCTGCCCACCAGGCTTCCTCCAATCCTTTTGGAACTGCGCTGGCTGCCGCCGCGCCCACCCACCAGCTACGACAGTTTCAACGTCTACATCTACAGAGATGGTAAGAAGGAAGCAGCTGAATAAAGAACATCTCAGATGTTCCCGTGTTGGCTTCTGAACCTCTCGCTCTGCTCCTCAGGTAACTCGACAGAAACAGCGACGGTGGACGAAAGCACTCACGAGTTCTTTACAGAGTTAACGGAGCCGGGAATATACCGTGTGCAAGTGACCACACTGAGCTCGTCTGGAGACTGCGAGTCCCGAGAGAGCAGTGGCGACACTGCCTTCACCTTCTACCTCAGTAAGTGTACAGGAAGTGATTATGGCGCATGCAGCGGCGTGTGGCAATGAAGGATGGATTCAATCAAATGCATCTTTGTTCTAGTGTTGTCATTGTTAACGTAATCCACTTCCTGTTGACCTGCTCCTTCGCTGGTTTATTAATGGTTACAGGTCCCAGCGGCGAGCTGCTGGAGGACCTGCGAGAGCGTCCTCAAGCCGTCAGCGTCAGGCTGCTGGACTCGAGCACCGCTGCCATCTCCTGGGCGCCATCGTCGCAGAACCACAATGGGAGCCTGGTGTCAGTGGTTTCCACCACCTGCCTGAAGCCCAGCCTGAGCCAGAGGATGGAGAACACCTACTGCAGCGAGGTCAGGCACGGCACTCATTACTGGCTGCGCACCGCAGATTGAAGCTCACACAGGGGGTCTTTTGAATAAATAATAAAAATAAATTTGAATAAAAATTCTATATATATATATATATATATATATATATATATATTTCTCTTTTAAATGTCTTTATGAAACTTTATAAATGTTTTTGTTTTGAATAATTTTTTTGAAAATTCCAGCTTCGACACTCGATTTGGACCTCGAGCCTCTGACCAAGGCCCCAAAGCCTTGGTCAGAGGCTCCTGGGCAGGAGGCCGAGTACGTTTAACCTTTTATTTTTTTAATGACAGGAAAACTCGACGAGTGACATTATCACCAACCTGACGCCGGGTGCTCAATACCGGGTGGTCGTCTATCACACCAATGGACCCCTGATCAGCCCGCCGTCGGAGCCCGTCATCATCGATATCGGTGAGCGTCACTTTATGCGTCTTTTTCAGTCCCACTTCCTGTTCCCTGCTCCTGTTCTTCCTGTTCCACTCTTAAATCCCGCCTGTGTCGGTGTGCTGTGTCAGAGCCCACCGGCGTGCGCGAGCTCACCGTTTACCCCCTGAGTCCAACGGCGGTGATCCTCAGCTGGCAGCGTCCATACCACGTTGCCTTCAGGAAATATGTGTTGCAGACCTTCTTCTTCAACCCCGTCACGCTTGCCTCTGAGTGGACCACCTACTACGAGATCGCCGCCACCGCCTCCGTCATCGCCTCAGTGGTAACCAGTCTGTCTCCGTCACAGGAAACATGTCATGGCACCACGCCGCGTCCACCTCACCGTATTTGTCTCTATTTCCTCTCAGAGGGTGACCGACTTGCTGCCTGCCTGGTATTATAATTTCCGTGTTTCCATGGTGACGTGGGGTGACCCACCGCTCAGCTGCTGCGACAGCTCCACCGTGAGCTTCGTCACAGGTAATGCCTCACCGCAGCAAGGACGCTGCGAGGGAGGCTGGGCCAGGATCCAGCAAACAGACTTAGACTTAAAAATAGAATAAATAGACTTTTTAGTTTTTATATAAAGAGACATTTAGACACATAATTTCAAGCCATTTTTTTTTTCATTTAAAAATAAATCAAAAATAAATTAAGAATAAAAACATGCAAAATTAAAACACATTTTAGTGTTTAACAGTTTAAATATTTTTTTTATTTTGTTTAAATATTACTCAATTTGGTCACTCCCTGAAATAATAAAATAAAATACAATTTAAAATTTATGCATAAAAATAGAAATAAATAAAATAAATGTATATTTTTAATGATCTAATTCATTTTGTTTTTATTTTATATCTTTTTCTGGGTTTACTGATAATGCAGCTCACAGATGAAGAACAAAACGCATGAATTTTTATTGTTACTTACGTTTTTTTTATTTTGGTTTTTATTTGCTGATATTTCTTGTGAAGATCCAGACGGCACATCTTTAATGTGTCTGCAAACGTATGATGCAGGTCTCCTTCTTCTTCCTCCTCTCAGCTCCCGAGGCGCCTCACATCTCCTCTGTGGATTACTCTCATGGCGTTCTGTACGTCCGCTGGACATACGGCGAGCTCTTCATTGACCTGTCACACTCAAGGATGCTGCACTGGCAAGTGGTCGCTGTCGGGAAGAAGGGACCGGAGAAGACGTACTCCGTTGACGTGAGTCCAGACACATCTGTCTAGGTGTTCACGACACTCTGAGACACGTTCTCGCTGTTTTAGGTGTATTTGTGCGTTTGTGCGGTGATGAGTGTGTCTCCAGCAGCAGCTCATTATTTCAGGGTCGAGCGGAGCTGTTATTGACTCTCTCCTTCGGGTTGGTTCGATGGTCTGATTAGCAGCAGAAGAATGACCTGCAGACGTCGCTGCTCTACGAGTCCAATTACCACCGTAGCCTGAGCTCGCTTCTGTGATCAAGTATCTGAGGGTCCCAAGCCATGTTGGAGGTTTAATTGAGAGCGTATACAGATGGCATGTAGATGTCAGCTATATTCAGGATGTTAAGCAGTCTTCATTTCTACTAGATTGCTACTGATAGTTCTGATAAATGTGTAAACAATTAAACCAGCTTACAAAAACACAACAAACAAGAGAAATGTAACTTTATTTTGAAGAATTTATGTGAAATAGAAATCTCAGTAATGAGCATTGACCTCGGGGACTGAAACCAAAAATTACACTTCCTTTTCCAAATGTGTATATAAAAGATGAGCATAGCCACCATGACATCATTCATTAGTTTTGTTAGCATCCTGGACGCCAGCACGTTGTTTTCTTGTTTCTTAAAATGTTTGTTTTGTTTGGATAAGAGGGTGGCATGCTAAGTTATCATCTAATGCTAGCTAACTTGGTTAGCATTGTTTAGCAAAGTTTGTCTCTATAATAACCTCACAGCAGCTTTATTATTGGTCGGATAATGTCATTAAAAATGCTCCAAAAGACTCCAACAACACAAACACAGTCCAGAGGTCCAGTTTGCTGAATGTAACTGGCAGCTGGCAGCTACAGCCACCTGTCAGTCAAAGAAGCCACACCCCTAATGATGTAACCTGATAGTTTCTACGGACTCCATCACTGCTGGGGCCTCTGCTGGAGGTTAGAGGACATGGCTTTGCAAAGCAATGGCTAACGTTACATTGGTGATGTCCATCTTTTATATACAGTCTGTTCGGTCTTTGAGGTTGAATGTAATTTAAAATTGTATTTAGATGTAAGAGTACGAAGACTGAGGACTTGTTGTGTTTGCGGTCAGCAGGTCTGCAGAAGTTTAATAAAGCTTCCACACTCAGAGCTGATCATTTATATTTAATCGTTAGTTCGTGGTGGAAGCAGACGATCACAGTGACTAAACGGAGACACAGACAGCTGTGAGGATTTACTGCAGGGATATTTTTAGTTTTATTCAGGGCAGATTAAAAAGATATTTTAGGAAAATACCTGCACTGTTAATCTTTCAGCAGCTCCGCGTGGGACAGAGGCAGAGCAGAATATGACCCCATCAGATGGAGGAAGGGGGCACTCAGGACTGACTGTGTGCACGCTGTTCAAGTGTTATTTACATGTTGTTTACGTGTTGTTTACATGTGGTGCTGTGTCAGGTGACTCGGAACGTGATGCGGGCAAGCCTCCCTCTGCCTCCCGGAGACATCTACAACCTGACGGTGACGGCATGCACAGAGCGCAGCAGGAACACGTCCACGCCAAACATCATCAAACTGGGTCAGCGAGTATTCACTGCAATTTAAAGATGCAATAATGATGCAGCTATGCAGTGTTAACAAGGTTTCCGCTACATCAGGGTTTCATACATAAAACCTAAAGAGGCAGCCGGCTGCGCAGACTAACAGACTAACTCCCCCAAAGTTCCCCGAGTGCTTTTTCAAAAAAATCATCCCAGTTTTCTTGAGAAAGAATAAATGAATTATATTAGTACACGATAACTGAACAATATTTTCACCCCACTGAAAGACCGACCTTTAACTCTGTAATTCTCAGAGCTGTAAAATTGAGTTAAAGGGAGGGTTAGCTTCTGGATTACAATCAGTATTAAACTCCAGTAAAAGTTTGAGCTGTTGCTGAGAAAGCATCACGCGTTAAACCAAAGAAATCACTTTAGACCTGAGAAAAAGAATCAGTTATGCTCATAAAGCAGGGATGGTGGATTTAGAAAGTTATCAAGTTATAATATTAAGTAATGAGGCTGCAGACTGAGAACAATTCCACTTCTGCAGAAGAGACACCTTCGTGTCAGACTGAAGTATGTTGAGGACGATCTGGGGACAGATCTGGAGGAACCTGAGAGGTTCCCCAAAGAAGAACGGGCTGGGATCATTTAGGAGATGAGTGTGAGACACTGCAGGCTGTTATCCAGCATAATGGACATAATGGACAAAATTCTGTCCTTGTGATAGGATGACGTGTAAAACCTGTTTGCTGTTTCTGTCAGTTTGTAGAGAGATAATTGAGAAAATGAAACTCTGGGCTGCAGGAGAAAACGTGAAGGATGTAAGTGGGAAAGACGTCTCGGTGCTGATCACCGAGCGGCGGCCTCTCTGCTTGTTAATCTGTGCTGTGGGTCTGAGGTCAGACTCACAGAGTGAACATGAAACTTCATTTTCTCCACTTCCCCTTCTGAGCGTATCAGACTATTTCAGTCCTCCTCAGAGGAAGTGCGGGGTCTTTAGCAAGCTTCGGCTCGGCTCAGCCCTACAGTTCACCACCACAGTTTGTCCTGCACTGTAAGCTCTCATGAAGGGTTTTCGCTGCTGTTTCCTGCAGAGCCGGCTCCTCCCAGATCGCTGTATGCCGTCAACGCCACTCACTCGTCCGTGACTCTGCTGTGGACCGAGGAGGGAGTGGTCGACTATTACCAGGTCCTCTGCAGACCCAGCAAAGCCAGCAAGGAGCAGCTCAAGGTAAAAGTGCTCCAGCCATGCTCTATATCAGCTTTCATTGCCTCAGCTGCAGGTCTGAGACGATTAGGAAAGGATTAGGAAAGGATTACAAAAGAGCGAGATTACAAGTTAGTTTCAGCTCTGCAAGTGTTTTTTGTTTTAACTCATACAAATTCATTAATTTCAAAGATTTTTCTATGTTGTTCAGACATTAAGTCAACCAAACTTTTGTTAATTGTGAAAATAAAAATGTGATGCGTAGATAAATCAATAATAAAGGAACTACTTTTGTGTTTTGCTGATGTGAAAGTTTCTGAGATAATCCCGCAGAAATGTGGAAGTTGTTAAACATGAGATGACATGACATGCTGATGAGAAATAAACCAGACTGATCCAGTGAGGATCGACGATCGATCCCTGGGGAACTCCAAGCCTGGCTGCTACAACCAAAAAGTTCGATTTTTGCAAATCAGATTTTAGCTGCTGTAGAAACAAAGAGGAGGAATGACAGAAGTCGCAGCCGTTTTCTTCGAGCATCAGCGTGAATAAATTCATTGAGGCTCTCTCAGGCTGGTGAATTTGTTTCATATTGGCCACATGGGATCTGCATTAACAGTTTTCTGATCATGTGACCCAAAGAATAATAAAATGCAGTAATCAATAATCCCAAACTGAAGCTCCCTGAACACAGTAATGAACCCGGACACAGACACAGGGGACCAGATTTGCAGAGATAACGAGCTGCTGATGCTGAACACGTGTTTTTACCTGCAGACTTGAAATTTAGTTTGTTCCCAAGCTAACGAGCTGGATGCCGGCTTTAATTAAAGAACTGAAAGTGTGATCAAAGCTGAAAGCAGAATAGAGTGAGTTCACATCTAAGGGGAAATGATTGATTGTTTCCTTCTTTTATTTTAGCTGTTTAAAACTTGAGAGCAGACTGACTCAAAACAAACTCACACAAAGCCTGAAGTCTGCAGTAAAACATGATGACATGTCATGAAAGGCCTGGGTCTTGTGGTCGGGGTGTCCTGCAGCGAGTTGAAAAGCTTTCATGGCGTCTCAAAAGGAATCAGATTATATATAAAAGGATGAGTCAGCGTCAAATTATAGGAGGTCCAAAACTCGAGCTCTTCAGCACCATAAACCAGCTGAAACTTTTCACTTTCAGTCTGAGACCAAACTCAGATCTGTGAGGACTCTGATGTGATTGGTCGTATTTGACCTACACCAGCTGAGGTGGAGAGAGCACGATCGGCCTGATATCGTTGGGACAGTAAAACAAGATTATTTTTATACAGCTGGCGTATATCCCTTTAAGGAGTTAAATAATGACAAATGGCAAACGTTTGGGAAATCTGTTGATGTTTCGCATCTGAAAGGAAAAAAATCAGCTGATTTCTGATCAGAATTTTTGAGCGTCTGTCAGTCTTAAAGTCTATAGGAGAAGAGTTTAGAAAACATGGTTTTCTTCCCGTATCGAGCTTTCATCCCTGACTGTGTTTTGTTGTTTTTTAACGTCCTTTCAGTGTAATGGCTGGTTTACCGTCTGCAGGCTGAAGTTTTTTTTATCATGAAAGCAAAATAATGCCCCAAAGAGCCGCTCAGCACCTGTGTTTGGTTGGTGTTTATGTGGATCAGTTGCAGCTAATCTCATTAGAAAGCTTAAAAGTGAAATAAATCTTTTATTTTGGAAATAAATCCTACTTTACTTTTAAAAAGAGAGAATTTTTTTTTTCTGCCTGTGATGCATTTGGATGATTTGACCCCAACCTCTCTGGTCATCTGCACGTTAGAACCCAAAGCCTCTGATAGCAGGAAACTTACAGCTGTTTCCAGCTGTGCTCCAAAACAGCTGCTTTTGGAGTCATCAGACAGGTTTTTTCTGCAGATGATGAAGAACATGGTGAAGAAGGCGTGTATTCGTTGTGGATGGCTGTGGATCACATATATGTGCTGCGTGGTATCTGTGGGATGCTGTGAGCTTGTACAGCAGCTGACTCGCTAAGAGAACATTTTTGATATGAGTCCAGCTTTCAGGTAAAATAAAGGTGAATGACTGCAGGGAGGTTAGCAGGAACTGGTGTTGGAGGTCTGGACCTTGAAAACAGAAACTTGGTGACATCCATGGTTCCATATGAAGAGGTAGGCGATAAAAGGAGACTAACAAAAAGGATTTAGATAGGCCTAGTGCTGCCAAGGGTAATTTGGCAGCACGTGTGCAGAGATGCAGGTCAATAAGATGTCTGATCGTAGAATGGCAAGGAAAGCTTCAGGCAGTTGTTAATGATTCAAACTTGAGTGCACTGGTTTCTGTCCAGTGAGAAGTCTCTCGTTTGACCAAATTTAAAATTAGAGTTGCAGAAACAGGAAGTGCCACGTAACCATGGAAATATTTGGGAAAATTAAGACAGTACAATTTTCTTTAGCTTCTTCTTTTTAAACGTCTTGACAGATTTAGCAGTGAAGCACATACTGGAACTAGGGTTATAGTAGTAACAACAACAAAACACCAAAGAGTTTTGGAAAATGTGAAATATGTGGTCATAAACAAAAATACAGTTTTAGTGAGCACGAGGCTGGGGTCAGCAGCCGCTCAGCCCATTGTCTTTATCTGGACTTCAAATCTGACCTCTTCTTCCTCTTCCTCAGGCCCTTGAGCCGCAGACCTCCACCTCCCACGTGGTCACCATTTCTGGTTTGATACCATCGTCCAGCTACAACTGCACCGTCACCAGCTTCAGCTACAGCACGCCCAGCAAACCCACACACATCAGCGTCAGCACTGTTGGTAGGTGGCACCATTTACCTGCACCATAGGAGGGCAGTGACTGTCTTTATTTGAGCCCTGAAAACATCTTAAAAGTGAAAACTGAACTAAGTGCAGCTCTTTAATTTGAAGATTTAAAATGTTTTTAGTCACTCCTGCAGGCAGTAAAGTGAACTGCAGTCACTGAGGGTGAGTATGACATGAAGAAGATTTGTGCTGTGGAGCTGAGCTCAGTGAACTCTTTCCAGCTGCTTGCAGCGACTCAGTGAAATGTTTTGGTGCCGTTAGTCACAGAGGAGCAGCAAGCTCATTGGTTAACACCTTGTCATAACAGGTGTTAACCAGTGAGCATTGATTTACAGGTTGTAAATCAATGAGTAAGGATTGTGAGATCCACCCCTCTTTCAACACAACAAGAAGCTCACAATTTCTATGTCGGTCTTTTATAGTCTATGTTTGTAGCAAAGTACAGTTGGTGGCCACCCGCTTGATAAAAGAACTTTAATGTGAAAAGTACCATACAGGAAGGGTTCTGTGTTGAGAAAACTGATGAAATCGGCGAGGACTGTGCTGAGAGGTAACAACGTCTGTCTGTGCGTCTGTCTGTATATCTGCAGCCAAAGAGATGAATCCAAGCGTTGCTGCCATCTCGGCTCTGGCTGTCCTCAGCATCCTGCTCATCAGCCTGCTCGTTCTGTTCCTGCTTGTGCTGCGCAAGAAACACCTGCAGATGACCAGGTAACTCAAAGTCAGCACAGCAGCAGTGCCCTCTGCTGTCACACAGTCATCTGTTGTTCATTTGGCCTTCACAGCTTCACTCTGTGTGACAGTTATAGTGTATGAGATACAGTGTATGAGTTTACTGTGCATGAGTTGTAGTGTATGAGGTTAGTTTCTGTATGCATTTCTGCAGCAGATCCTGCAAAAAAAAACCAAGCATGTGTCCTAAATGTCTTATTTTTGAAATGCCCATTGAGATCAGTTTATGGACTTTATTCTAGTTTTAAGAAAAGTAATAGAAATAGAAATGATGGAATTTGGATTACAGTTATTGGAGTTAATGAGCATGAATAATCTTGGAGCTTCAGAGTGATTCACAGCTGAATTTCTGAGGAAATAACTGAGAGGGTGTCTGCATGCTGTACACTAATCTATAAAGCGGTCAAGCTGTGGTCTGCTGTGGTCAGCCGTTAATGCCCAGCTAACTGGCATTCATAATAATAACACCTTTTATTCTTAGAGTCATGACACGCACGAGTTAGGACACAAACTACTTCCTCTTGTCAGGAGGCTGAGCGGCATGGGTCGTGTTTACGAGGCACTTTATAGACCTACGCGTTATTGAGGAAGCAATATTTACACAGTATTACACTGTGTGTACTGTAATATGTGTGTTTTACAGATTTATAGAATAATGGTATTCTCTTTTGTACTAAAATAAAATACTGATTTTTTGCTACATCTCAAATATAATGTGGAAAATAAAAAATACTTACATGTATGACAAAAATAAAAGATTTACTTTTTTAACATGAAAATTATGAAAAAAAAAATCAATTTAATACAAAAGTTAAAATAAATACATTTTAAATCAGTTTCTACTTTGCACATTCAATTTAGGAGTTTTTGTATCATATTTATGCAGGATATAAATGCTGTGACATTAAAATGGTGCATTTAAAAATGTTGACGTTAATTTAAAATTAAATCATATAATTTTTACTCAACAGTTTTCATTACACTTACGTTATAATTCAGGTTTTTTAATGTAGGTCATACTACAGAAGCACTAGAACCTTTTTAACATTGAGTAGTGTTTTTTAAATGTGTCAAAATAATTTAATGCAAAAGTTAACATTGTAAAATTATAAGTTAACAGTTCTACATTTAATTTTATGTGGCCAAAGTCGTTAAAAAATGTAATGGAAAGCATTAATAAACATCAGTAAGCAGAATTATTTCAAATTTTTTACATGAGCCAATCAGAATGCGGCATGCGGACTTTTACTAGTGGATCACATGCAGATGTTAAAACATTTAAATTTAAAGTTATGATTACCTTATGATCGTAACTTTACCCTGCATCATCTCTCCAGTTATTCTATCTTTTTCATTTTAATTTTTCACCTTTTTGAATTTTTATTTTTTTAAATGTTTCTAAAATGTTTGAGCAAAGAAAGTCATTATTTTCAGATGGCTTGATAAATTCTTTACTTCACTGTAAATTTTCTTTTCATACTCACTTCACAGCTTCCTCCATTTCCTTATAAGTCATCTATTATTTCTGAGTTCCTCAAACTGAGCTGTTCTCACCACATGTGCTTGTTAATTTCTGTTTCAGAGAGTGTGGCGCAGAGACCTTTGTCAACTTCGCCTCGTTTGAGAGAGACGGAAAGCTTCCATATAACTGGTACGAGCTTCGTCATGTGTTTGTTCATCTTCAGATCACAAATTAAGCGTTCACGCACGGGTGGATGTTGTTTTAGCTTGGATTTAGAGTAATCACACAACCTCGGTTTTGGATGTGCAAACACCCTCGAAAGACCCAATCAGAGGCAGATTAGCAGCCCGGAAGGGGGATTGAAGAGGCAGATTAGGGATTTGAACATATAGGCACAGATTATAGCTCATCTGTGGTGCTTTATACAACTTGAGGTGACGATGACCATGATGATGATGATGACGACGACAAAGAGCTCAGCACCCTTGCCTGCTTTGTTTGGACCAGCTGAAATGGGGTGTTTGATGATGATGAAAGCTTTGAATTTCCCCTAATCTCAGATTAAAAGGACAAAATGTTGCTTTTTGAGTCAGTCGTGTTAATTTGTTCAAAACAAGAAAAGATAATTCAATTTTATTTCTCCTTTAAAATCAAGCAGAAGAGGCAAAAAGTGCCTGTTTTTAAACTGTGAAGTGGCTGATGGATCAGATTCAGTCTCACATGTTATTTCTGACAAACATTTGGAGATTTGTGATTAATATAACAGCTGAAAGACGGTCAGTTAAGGCAGAACCTTGGCTTCCATCTGCTGTTGTATTTGACCTTCCATCACTAAATGCACATTTCCATCAGAGTGTCTTCTTCTTCTTGATGTGATGGTGCAGTTTGCTTTTAATGTGCATGTGGACAGACTCACTGTGTGATGTCACAGCAGTGTGGATGTGATGAAAACGCGAAGCCCCCACTGATGCTCCAAAAGGAAATTCTGTCGAGAGCATTTATCTGAATATATCAAGTTTTAAAGAACTAAATGATCCTTTTTTATGTTATATAACAATGGAACCACTTAAAGAAAAACAAAAACCACAAACAGCATAAAAAATAGAGCAAAACAATATAAATATGATGTACAGTTAGGTTATTTATAGTTGTAAAATAGGAAAGGTATAAGCAAGAAACACATCATGATGAACAATTCTCCATATGTTTTGTACAATGTTATGTTTAATTCTGATTGAACTCTTTATGCCTTGAAAGCCTAATAGGAGTTCTTATATGAACTGAGTGATTTCTGCTTATAGTGCATCAGAATTTAGCAAAGGTGGTCTCTTCCAATGGACCTTCTCTTGGAGAAACCCAAAAATGACTGTAATTGTCATCAAACCCCCTCTTCATTAATATACACTGAAGTGTAGAAACTTGCTACACCTCAGGGGAGGTCGTCAAATGTCATGTTTGTGGGGGAAAGAGTTAAGGAAGATAAGTCTTAATGTAATTAATGTAATTTACCTTCTAATTAACCTGATTTTTATCTGAATTCTTTGATTGCTTTCAACAAATCCTGAAAAAAGCCCAAAGCAACCAGTGTAAACCAGTATGGTGTACCTCAAAGCTCACTTCCTGGGATATTCATTTTTTAAACTCACAGTTTTACACTGTTATGACATAGGTTAGATAATTTTATTTGCAAGAAGGTGATGCAAATATTTTTCAAAGATAAAAATTGGAATGAAACTAACAGTGTATTATCCAGTGTATCTAGCCGGCTAAATGTTTTCTAATTTTTATGAACAAGTCAGCAAGATAATTCATCCAGTAAGTTGTTTTAGTATTAGTTTTAGACTTAGTTTTATTACTTGATACTACAGAGACATTTAAGTCTGTGGCAATAAAATGTAGAAGTTTGACATGACTTAAATTTTAATGTTTGTGTTCCCGAGCTTCATCAAGAAAACTCAGGAAAACCCAGACGGACAAAGAGGAGTTCATAAATGTATCGGCATCAGTGGGGTCATTACCCAGGCACCACAAATGTAAATGAGATCATCAGGTTCATAAAGGTGGCTGTCACTGCCAAGTGACAAACTGAGAACTGTTTATACATGGTGTCGGTCCTGGCTGAGGGTTGCATTGTGGGATGGCGGGGAGGACGCAGTGATGTCACAGACTCAGGCTGGGGGGTTGTGTAAAAGAAACAGAGTGGCCATTGACGTCCAGCAGCATACAGACTCCTGTTGTCCTCCAGAGACACAACAGGACACTCTCTGAGCGGCTGCATGATGCATTAACTCTGTGTTCAGCACTAATGTGAAGCTCTTGACGCTCTGTGCCTCTTTACTAATGGAGCACCATGTTCTGTCCCCAACCTATCACCCCCCTCGTGTCTGGGTTTTTTTTTTTTTTTTTATTCTTGTTTTTATTTGAACCCCCTTCAGGCGAAGAAGTCTCTTTGCCTTCCTTACCCTACTGCCATCCTGCCTTTGGACTGACTATCTTTTGGCTTTTTATATTAATCCTTGGTAAGTAAGCACTTGCTGGCCAAAAACACTGCACTTCAGGGGCATGTCTAAGCAGAGCCACAGCCGACAGTATTGATCAGAGACACTGTTTTACTCTCAAAATTAACCAAAGTGAGGAGTCACGGATCACCTCTGGATCCAGAGTTCACAAATAAGTCTGGTGGTGTTTTGTATGGAGTAAAACAACAATCCATTTGTCAGTGTGATGTACCTCAGGGTTTTCATCATTCATATTTTCTACTTTTAGGTCAATATTTTTTTTAATATCAATTACAAAGAAAACCAAACTATTGCCAACAAAAAAGTCCTTTTCATTGGTCAACAATGGTCCACATAAAACAAGAGAAGTGAGAGATTAATGGGTCAAAAGCTTTGATCCTTTTTTTGTAGCAATGAAATAACTTCTGATTGGCTATAGGTGTTTTGGTGCATTTCAATCAGGAAAACATTGTGGTTTGGGTTAAAATAACCACTTCATCAAGTTTAAAATAATAACCACAGAGTTAAAGTAGGGCAGTGACTGTTTTGGTGGTTGGTAGAAAACAAATAGCCATGTCCTGTTTAAAAGTACAACATTAATAGACCTATCCAACCACCTTGAGCTCCTCCCTCAGTTTTATCCATGCTTCTATAGCCAAAATACACTCATTTATCTTTTAAGAAACTAGTGCCTTCATTGCATACCACGACTGCATAGGGATGGTGTGGCTGAAAATGTCCTGTGATGGTTCTCTAATTCTAGCAAATTTACTTAGATTAGATAGTGAATTTAGTTTTTTACAAGGGTTAATTTCAAGGCCTGTGTTGTGTTTCCAGGACACACTCATTTAATATGACTGAATGAATTAGCCTAATTGCAAAGCCATTGTCTTCTTTTGCAAGTTTAAAGTGATCGGGATTAAAACCAAAATGTAACAGGTTTCTTCAATAATCCATGCTCCACGTCGCCACCAAGCTTCAGGATATTCAGTTTGGTACTTTTTGTGTAAGAACCACTACCTCAATTCAGTACAATACATAGTTTATGTTACAAATGCACCCAAGACCTATTTTTCTGTCACCAGGGATTTACTGTTTTATTTATGCATGGCCTTTAGTCCTCAAAAATACAATTTTGGGTGTGTGCTTATAGCATTATGTTACACTTAATGCTCACAAAAATTCTAACTCTAACTATTTGGGACTAAACCAAAAAACAAATGTGATCATTTTTAAGTTATCTAGTATAATCAGCTGGAATTTCTTACTATTCATGTTTACTAATTCATGTTTATATGTAGATAAATATCAAATAAAACAGTCAAATAACATAAATATTGTCTTTAGATGTATAAATAGATCACTTGCAATTCTGCTTCTGTGAATGTGAAATCTGGTGTTCCTCAGGGATCCATTTTGGAACCCTTTAGGTTTTTTTGTGTTATAAATTATTTTTATTTGTAATGTTTTCTTTAGTGTTAGTTGCTAGCAGGAGACAAAACTCAGTGTCGGATTGGACATGTGACTGTTTGTTGACAAGAACAAAAATATATCAAACTTAATATATAAAACATCACCAGACTGTTCTTTAGCATTTTGACACTTCATTTTGAAACTACAGGGAACTCCCGAGGTAAATAGGTAGTCAGATGTAATTTCTGACATGTTGAACTTTGTCTTGCAATGCTGTGTCTGTGGTTACACCTTCAAAGTCACATTGAGTGTATTTCTACTAACATGTTGGATGTACTTCAGCATGAAGCGAACTCTCGATGCTAACTCCGGCTTTGGTGTCTGCATGCTCCCTGTCTCTCTCTTTGTGGACTTTCTCTTTAGACGTCTCTTCGTTACTCAGTTGTGATTTCTGTTCTCTCATAGATTGTAGATGTGATGTGCATGTTGATGGATCAAGATGAACTAGCGGATTGTGTTTTAGCGTCTCCAGATTTCCTCCCACTTGATGTTTGAAAACTTGGTTGTAAACCAAGGAACTTTCAGGACATCATGAGTGATTCAGGGGGAAATTTGGCCCAATTTAACACAATTTGTGTTAAATGGTTGAATGTAGATACAGAAGTATGAAGAGCAAAAATTACAGAAGATGCATGATTGTGGAGAAACTTAATGGCTCAGTCACACTAGGGTGAAAATAGGACAGCAACCTCCTTGACCTCCTGGGTAATGCAGAGGTTAACTGTGTAACACCTTTAACCTCTGGGCAATCACAAGGTGACTGTACAGGTTGCCTGGTAGGAAGCAACCTGTCTTGAAACGGTCGTATTTCAACTCGGACTGACTGCAATCACTCTCAAAAAAATTGGAGAAGATTGACAAATAAGATCTTGATAATGTATAAATGCAGACAGATTGCCAATATACTGAAGTCTGAGTCAGTCTGCACTGATAATTGCAATTCGTCTACAATCCATCACTTTTTAATAAGGACCTCAACTCAATTGGTTGCCAGCTGATTATAATCTGATTATATTCCTACATAAAAGCAAGCTTGTGTGCACAGGTAAACTGCTGTGTTATTTGTGTTATTTTTAAATCTATGAGATGAATGTGTGTTTGTTTTATTTTCTGTGTTTGTTGATTGCAACAGATTTGTAATTTAAGCAAATTGATCCCAGTTAACTGCCGTATTATCACAGACAGATTGCATGTTATTGCCAACTTGACCCCATGTAATTGTAAACTGGTAGCAGACTGACTCCATCTTTTTGTTGTTTTAATGCTGTGTTGACACTTTGAAGCCAGCAACTGACTGAATGGTTGCAGACCTGGTCCCTTTTTTCCAAAGCAAATTTCCAAAGCAAATTCAAAAATTATTTCAGAGGCAAGGCAAGTTCATTGCACACTTTTGCAGTAATTAAGGTTGTGCCATGGTTTGTTTTCCTTAGTGTGACTGTAGCATTAAGCAGGTAGCAGATCTAGATGAAGACGATACTTGTGAGCATGACATTGTCTTGCTTTGATGGGTCGACTTATTTTGAAGTTCTGCTTTGTTGGGTTCGACCGATGCTTGGGTTCGGTACTGGCGTTATATGCAAAAGTGATTTGTGTGAATCTATCTTACTGAAGATAGACCCTAACCCTAACCCTTTTATTATTGCATAGATATATGACAGAATAGGAACCTCAATAAGATTTCAGTTAGGCAAAAATGTCTAAAAACTAGAACCCATCATTTTATCTGGGACTAAATCCAAAACAAAATGACTTGGTGCTTTTATGCAATTCAATAAGTGACTGGAATAATTAATGTACCGTTTAGTTGGAGATTATCTATCGGAATTTCAGGAGCAGGACCACGCCACCAAACATGCTCCTTCCGGTTGTCATCTATATAGGTTCCCCCAATTCTGCAAGCTGATCATTCTCGTTTACGTGCCCCACCCTCCTCCCTCCCTTCTTGTTCTCAATTCTTTAACTTCTACATTTCTATTTAGTGCATGGGCATCTGCCAGGCCTGGGAGCCATCCCCAGTCCCCTTCGAGGCCTTCCCCAAACCGCAGCTCAATTAATGTCAAAGCATTCACTTTTACCCACTAAAACACTGTCAAACCTAAAATGAGGACGTGGGCCCAGCTAGTGAAATATTTTATTGCTGCCATGGTGCATCATAAAAAAAAAACCTAATACTGAAACAGGCAATTATATTTGCTCATTCATCATAACCTGGAAATTTTGTTCACGCCAAAAAATGAAATGTGAGATCTAGTCTAGAATAAAATAGAATCCAACCTGTGGCCCTTTGCTGCATGTTTTCCCCTCTCTCTCTCCTGACGCTTTCCTGTCACTCTTCACTGCTTCTATCAAAAAAGGCCCAAAAAAGAAATAATATTTCTAATTTTTGTCAGTAAAAATGAAGTGATTATTGATAACATTTAAATACATTTTAAGAAAGATGTTTGGTGTTTTACGGCATCAAATATCTTAATATTTTAAGCATTGTGGCAGTTCACAAATTTGATCTAAAACAGACCATTTATTTCCACTTAAAGTCTGGATATATTTTAGTAAAGGCTTTTACTCAGCAGGACATGACTTAAAACTGAATAACTTCTCATGTTAATACTAACCACAAAACCATAATTCAAGAAATGTATACAGGAAATGCTTTAAATAGAATATTCTACCTGCCCATGACTCTTAACTGTGGAACTAAAGTCTGAACCTTCAGCCTCTGGGGCGCAAATAGGCACAAACACTGAAAACCTGCAGTTCCTCTCATTTCTAGCAGAGGCTGAAATCACAGTATTCTAACATGGTGAGCGAAAGCTCCAGGCGATCCAGGAGAGAAGAACAACTGCTGCCTAGGCAAAAACCCTTAGCGATCCCTTATGTGTCAGGAGTATTGGAACAGTCAACACGCATTTTACTGCGATGGCACAACACAGAAGAACTACCTCATCAAGCAGGACTTCACAGTCTGTTTACGCCTACAGGCCAGTGGACACTGTTTCAATGATGAGGATGAACACATCCTGGACAGGGAGGAATGCTGGTGTGAGCGGGGAGTCAAGGAGGCCATTTACATGAAAAGGGAAAGACCATCTCTGAATTGAAGAGGGGGCCTAAGGGTACACCTGTCACCATCTTACAATACTGTGATTGGTACTGATGGCCATTGATCAGTTGTCATTGATCAAAGGTCTTTGATCAATGACAACTGATCAATGGCCATGACAGTTTGGATATTTATCATCAAGAAACTACGCTACATCCACAAGAACAGAATCAACTTTTTAGACTCCCATGTTAAAACTTTACAGCAGAAACAAACATGTTTACAGCCTTATACACAAACTGTTTTCATCTCTATAGGTGATTTCCCCTTCATAACAACTGTATTAAACTTTTTTTTTTGTTTTTTACAGAATAATCACATATTGAAGAAGATTTTAGCAGCTTAAGTGGGGCACATATCAGGAGTCAGAGACAAATATGAAACTGTTAGGGGTGAAATTTTAAATGTTGTTATAACCCACATGTTTAAATTGTAATATGGCTTAAAATTTCTATTATTAGGGGTGTGGCCTCTTTGATTGTCAGGTATATGGAAAGATAGGAAGGTGTAGCAGCTAGCTGTCTGCTAGGCTTCACCTCAGCTAATTGGAGTCCTTGAACTGAACCTCTCGTGTTTGTTCTGCTGGAGCTTTTTGGGTTTAATAAGCAATTTACAAACGAACTGAAAACAAACCACATAGCAGGGGGAGATGCTACATTAAGGGGTAAAAACCTGCATCGGTCAAAGCCCAACATGAGCTAATGATGTGAATGAAGGAGGGGTCAGAAATCATCACAAGGACTTGACATGTTTGTATTTTATAGGAGCAAGACTGCTTTAAAGAAACGGAAGCTAACAAGGTAACGACGACTGCATGCAGCTTTCAGCCTGTGGGCTTCATCTTTCTCTGTGTGTGTGTGTGCGTGTGTTCACCACTAATACCATCCTTCAGCCAGAAAACAGTTTTATCCAGCAGTCTCCTGAGAAATTGAACCAACATTAACTGTGTACTCAGAGGGATTTCCGACTTTTGTGGGTGTTTAAAGGTTTGTTAATAAATTATTTCAGGATAAAATATTTATTGAAATTGCTCATGCTTTACCTTAGTGATGAACCCATTAATGCATTGCAAAACCTTCGACCTTTAGGTGGCAACAGATACACTTTTGCTCCATCTTATTATTACTATGGAGTAAGTGTTCCCTGTGCAGTGTAGTGACTATGTGTTAATTACCTGTTTATGCTGGTTACCTATAACAGTGTTTTAAGAACCAATGCAAAGTTTTTGGTGATCAACAAATGTAAAAGAAGTCTAAAGCCTGACGTTTCTGATACTGTCCAACTTTCTTCAAACTGCCATCTATCCACCTATCTTCTTAACCACCTTCCTAGTACCTATCTACCTATCTACCTAATTACCTCCCTACCTGTCTTCCTGCCTTACTATATGCCTACCTTCCTGACTCCCTTCCTACCTTCCTTTCTACCTACCTATGTTACCCTTTCCCTACCCAAATCCCTGTTATTCCCTTACTGCCTACCTAAGTCACTCCTTAATTACATATATCTGCCTGCCTACCTACCTTTGTATCTTCATTATCTTTCTACCTTCCCTTCCTACCTCCACGTATACCTCTCTACGTTTCTTCTCCTCTTCCTATCTACCTACCTGCCTTCTTCCGTCCCATCTTGCCTAACTGTCCTCTTGGCTATGTCCTTCCTACTTTCTACCTGCCTACCTATTTATGTTCCTACCTATTTATCTTTCTTTCTACCTACTTACCTGCCTACCTGTGAGCTGGTGCTGTATAGACATAGGCCCATCTATCTTTCATTCAGGGCAATAGGATTGTATTACAGCAGCTTGTTTTTTATTTTTCTTGACTAATTTATTTAAACTTACTTAATTTAAAATTTTCCAGTTTAAAAAACTGACATTAGCAAGCTAGCTGGAGCTTAGCTACTCTGAATCAGGCGCTGGTTATTCTCTTGTGATAGCTGAAAAGATGACACAGGGCAAGCTGGCCAGTGAGGCGCATGGATAAATGAGCTGACAGCATCAAGGCTTCTACACTGCTGCAGTGTGAGCTAAAGAAATGTTGGTGAGGTGAACTGAATATACAAGCCTGAGGGTTTCATAGAACCAGCTGCAGGTTGTTTGGGGTGAACAGATCTTCAGGTCCAACATTAGAGCTCATTAAAGGTTTTGTGCAGCAAACGTCTGCCCGTAGGACTTGGAGCTTTCGTTATCGGTGAGATTAAAAGCGAAATGTAAAGATGGTGGTGGGTGTCAGCCATTTGATAGTGGTTTTTTTTGTGCTTTCAGCCCTGTGCAGCTGGACGACTTTGAGGCCTTCTTCAAAGACATGAGCAAGGACTCAGCCTACAAGTTCTCCTTGCAGTTCGAGGTACAGCTTTAATCACGTCTTCTGAGACCAACAGGCCTGACATTTGTCCTGAGAAGCAGAGGGAAGCATCTGAAACCCTCTGTGTTTTTTATATCATTTAACTTTGGTTCTGGTGATGTTTCTGTAGCAAAAACCGAAAGAAGAAGTGAATAAATGTCCCAAAATGACCTTGAGAAGCTTCTAGGCTAGTGAGTGATAAAGTCTGCAGGTCAATTTAGATCAGCAGGAGTGAATGCTGCTCTAATACATCACCTGACGTTAGCAAGTGAGCAGGATCTTACATATTTCATCAGTTCACATATAACATTTAAATGTTTACAATTTAAATGAAATATGTCTTTTAGTTATATATTTATTCAGATGCATGGGTGTGCCTTTCAAGGGTGTTGGGCGACACTTCCCCTTACTTGGGAAAACAGCGAGATGCTTAATTATCATGTGGCGCCTGATTTTGTGTTTTTCTTTACATAAATAAATACGGTCTAAACTGAAGCACAAAAAACTAAAACTCAGTAGAAATGAAGGCAATCAATTTTTTTAAAATGTTCCTCTAGCACTCAAACTGCAGTGAGGCTTAAACCTTTTTCTGCACGCTATAGTGGGTGTGTCATCTGATTTTTAGAGTGCTTTAATCCACAGCCGTTCACGAGTAACAATCAAAACATGTCCTGTTAGAGCAGATTCGTGCTGGTAGGTAGCATGGCAACAGTGGTGGCTGCAGACGTGCTCGCAAAAGCATGGGATGGGTTTTCCTGTCGTATGGACACGTGCCACTCATTTGGAGGGAGACACATGCAGACATTATATAAAGTTTTCTATGTAAAACTTTATATTCATCCAGGTATTTTAAAATTTTGAATTCCTTAAAAAATACAGCGTTTTAAAATCTGATTAACTTTTGATACACCCAGTATTATACATTTACTCAAAGTGGATCCATTCCCCTTATTTCCACCTGCATTTTTTTACTGTTGTCTGTTCAAGCAGCTATGCATGATTCACACTTCAGAATAATCCTTCTTTATCTGATGCCAAGCTTCAGTTCATTTGCTCTTTGAAACAACCCGTTGTAGCTCCTCTTCATTTAAACCAGCTTTCTTGTAACACTCACAAACAGAAAAAAATCAAATCACTTGTTTTGAACTTGAACAGGAGGTGGGTGGGGCTTCTGTCTACCCTCTGTTACATCATACAGTTCCAAGAGTAGGAAAAACTGTGATAAACGCTGTTTAGAGAAGGCTGCAGGGATTTGTGTACATGCACTGAGCTGATTATTAGACACTCTGGTCATTTTTAATATGAACATCCAGCACAGGAACAGGAAATGAGGAGAAGACCCCTGGGTCCATTTTACATCTCACATAACCTCGGAGCTTTTTAACCCTTTAAAGCCGGTCGGAGCGGGCACGCTCCGTTTTGC